AAACCTTTCATGATATTTGGTGATTTCTTAACACACCAGCTCATAATAGTCAGTGGATTACAGGAGAATCTCAGCTTTTTTTCTTTAAACAACTTTCTAGCCCTCAGAGTTGAAGAGAAAAGCTGATTCTGAGCACCCTAAGAGCTCATCAGCCAGAAGGAAAATAAATAGAACCCAACATTAATTATTTTAACTCATGATTTTTAAGCCAATCTCATCATTTGGGGGGTGGAGGGACTGACCTATGATTTTTTTGAATGCTTGGTTGAGCAGTAGTGATTACCTGGGACCCTTGCGTACCCATTGCTATTGGATTGTAAAGTCATACCCTGACTGTACAAATCTTTCCCACACTTGAAGAAGAGATCTGTGTAAAGTCAAAAGCTTGTCTCTTTCATCAACAGAAGCTGGTCCAGTAAAAGTTATTACCTCACCCACCTTGTCTGTATAGACCTTGAGGGATAGTAGTTCATCTACAGATTCAGCAAGTGTGGAATGTACATTTGAACGGCATAGGGCAAAGGGAAAGGTGATTAAAAATTAGAACAAACTATCAAGGGAAATGGTAGATTCCCATTTCTTGAAGTTTTCAAATCAAAACAGGGTGCTAGAAGTTTGCAACCTGTGCCAAACCCTGTAGAACCCAACTACAGGTATTGAGTTCAGGTCTGATATGAAAATACCTGGACATGCTTTGGCTTGGGTCAGATTTAGATTGTGAAGGAGGCAGGCCACCACCAGTCTGGGGAGAGCAAAGGAAGGATGGTAACATTTGAATGGCCATACTGGATTAGACCAGTGGTCTGTCTATCTCAGTATCCCGTCTCTGACAGTGGATGATGCCAGATGCTTAGAGGGAATAAAGAGAATAGGGTAATTTAAAATCCAGTCCCAGCTTCTGGCAGTCAGAGATTTAGGAACTCCTGTAGCATGGGTTTGTGTCCCTGACCATCTTGGCTAATAGCCATTGATGAGCCTATTGTCTGGGAACTTATCTAATTCTTTTTTTCAATAGTTATACTTTTGGCCTCACAATATCCGCTGGCAATGTGTTTCATAGGTTGACTGTGCATTGTGTAAAGAAATACTTTCTTTTGTTTGTTTCAAACCTGCTGCCTATTATTATCATTGGATGACCCCTAGTTCTTGTATTATACGAAAGGCTAAATAACATTTCCCGATTTGCTGTCTTCATGCCATTTGTGATTTTTATAGATTTCTATCATATCCCCTTTAGTCATGTCTTTTCTCAGCTGATCAGTCCCAGTGTTCTTAAATTTTCCTGGTATGAAAGCTGTTTCACACCCCTAATCATTTTCATTGCCCTTCTCTGCAACTTTTCCAATTATATGTGTAAGTAAGTAAGAGGAACCAGTTCATACAACAAACCTCGATGCCAACTCTGCTCACATGTCTACACCAGCGACACCATCACAGGACCTAACCAGATGAGCTACAACATCACTGGTTCATTCACCTGCACGTCCACCAATGTTATATATGCCATCATGTGCCAGCAATGCCCCTCTGCTATGTACATCGGCCAAACTGGACAGTCCCTACGTAAAAGGATAAATGGACACAAGTCAGATATTTGGAATGGCAGTATACAAAAACCTGTAGGAGAGCACTTCAGCCTCCCTGGCCACACAATAGCAGATGTAAAGGTAGCCATCTTACAGCAAAAAAACTTCAGGACCAGACTTCAAAGAGAAACTGCTGAGCTTCAGTTCATTTGCAAATTTGATACCATCAGCTCAGGATTAAACAAAGACTGTGAATGGCTAGCCAACTACAAAAGCAGTTTCTCCTCTCTTGGTGTTCAGACCTCAACTACTAGAAGAGGGCCCCACCCTCCCTGATTGAACTAACCTAGTTATCTCCAGACTGATTCTTGCCTGCATATTTATACCTGCCTCTGGAAATTTCCATTACATGCGTCTGACGAAGTGGGCATTCACCCACGAAAGCTTATGCTCCAATACATCTGTTAGTCTTTAAGGTGCCACAGGACTCTTTGTTGCTTTTTACAGATCCAGACTAACAAAATTACTTAAGTATCAGAAGGGTAGTCGTGTATCATCGGCAAATTTTGCCAGTTCACTGTTCACCCCCCTTTTCCAGATCTCTCTCTGAAAATGGACCACTTATTCCTACCCTTCGTTCCCTATTTTTTAATCAGTTACTGATTCAAGAATACTTTCCCTCTTATTCCATGGCTGCCTTCTTTGCTTAAGAGTCTTTGGTGAGGGACCTTGTCAAAAACTTTCTGAAAGTACACCGCTACCCCAGTATAACGTGACCTGATATAACACGAATTTGGATATAACGCAGTAAAGCAGTGCTCTAGGGGGGCTGTGCACTCCAGTGGATCAAAGCAAGTTAGATATAACGCAGTTTCACCTATAATGCGGTAAGATTTTTTGGTCCCGAGGACAGCGTTCTATCGAGGTAGAGGTGTACAAGTACACTAAATCAGCTGGATCACTCTTGTCAACATGTTTGTTGTCACTCTCAAAGAATTTTAATTGATTGGTGATTCATGATTTCCTGTTAGCCATGTTGACTCTTCCAAAACATCACACATAGATGAATGTGTTATAATTCTGTGCTTTACTATAGTTTCAGCTAATTTGACTGGTACTGTACTGAAGTTTGGCTTACTGGACTGTAATTGCCAGAATCACCTCTGGAGCCTTTTTAAAAAATTGGCATTATATTAGCTAAACCCGTCATCTGGTACAGAAGCTGATTTAAAGGATAGGTTACGTACTATAGTTATTAGTTCTGCAATTTCATATTTGAATTCCCTCAGAATTTTTGGGTGGAAACCATCTGGTCCTGGTGACTTATTACTGTTTAATTTAGCAGTTTGTTCCAAA